AAAGTTGCTTTCATTCATGTAACAGTCATTTGAAGCCTTGCTCCTTTGATGGAAGAAGGCACTCAGTTAAACTTTGATTTTTTTTTTTTACATAAATTGTTTGCACAGTGTAGTTTAAGTAAAAAAAATATGTACAATTGTCTTGATTTAATGTATGTTGTTCAGTTATCTAGGGTAAACGTAGCAATTAGCAATCATCCTCAATTACTATTTTTTTCTCTCTTAGTCGTTGTATTACACACATAGCAATTGAATCATTTCAACAACAACTCCGGGAAAAAGCATATAGTTCCTCCTACCTCGCGCTTCTTTGAAATAGTTGATTTTTTTTGTTTTGTAAAGGCCATGTCAAAGAGCTTCCGGTGATGCCCCTCCAAACAGAACAACCAGCTCAAGTGTAGTTAGTGTAAGGCCTGGTTCACATTCTTTGAACTACAACTTCCTACTCCGTTGTATTATCAATTTCACATATTTATTTGTCTTCACCTTCTCCTATCAGCTGCACTTCCATTTGCACAGTCCAGTCATCCACTGATTTGAACAATCTAGAAAAGTGCATCAGTAACTTTGAAGCAAACCAGAAGGTACGATAATTCACTCAGTTTCTAGCGAATTGGAAGATTTATGTAGCTAGTTTTGTTCAACAAAGTGCTTGTCATGTAGCTAGTTTTGTTCAACAAAGTGCTTGTCTACTGTAGGAGATTGGTGCTAGATTCGAGTGGACTCCCGAAATGGACGAACACTTCATTGATGCTTATATCGCCTTCAAGGTGTCCAAAAAATGGGATCGATTTAGGCCGCTAGACTGGAATTATGGCCAGATAGCCGAGCATTTGCGTGAAAATCATAGTCATGAAATCACAGCAGCCTAGTGCCAATCAAGATTCTATCGGTTCAAGAAAAAATGGCAACTTTTTTGCCTGTTTTGTGGACTTTTAACAAGATCAAGACTGGCATTGGATAGGAAGAGAATGTCTAGAATTTCACTGCTAGCTTTAACCATTGGGCTGCTTTGTAGTCGGTTAGTGTTTTCTCTCCTTACAACTCGACTATTATTAAATTGTAATAGCAATTAGGTTCCTGCTGTGTTTTACCAAACCATGCACAACACTTAGGCTTTACATATAAAACATGTTGCATGTTCACTTATAATTGCTGCCACATTAGACTTTTGATTACCTTGTCTCTTTACCGACAGTCCAACCAGGACTTTGTCGAATTCGCTGTGTCCTTCAGTTGTGGTCTATAAAAGCGGTTCACTCTCATCATACTCGGGGAGATCGTTATAGGTATTCGAGCACAGTCCGCTAGCCAGCCTAGCCCATCGCTCTCAACTAGCGGGGAATTGATCAGTCCACCTCCAGGAAGAGTGCAAAAGGCAAGGCCAAAGTCCGATCTTCATCCCAACCTCTTTCTAGCATCTCCCCTTAAAAAGAGAAGGATGTGTACTACATCTAGCCTATTTCGGAAGCCAGTAGTGGTAAGCAACCAGCATCCAGTTTGAGAAACTTCGGTGAGCGAGAGAGCTCCAGAGGCAATAAATCCACCCGATCGTCTATGGATAGAATCGAAAACGCATTAAGCAAGATCGGGAACTTCACGGATGTGGCGATTTGCGACTGAAAGGACCACATGGATAGAGATGAAACGTACAAAGTTGAGCACTGTCAAAACATTGTCTCCAACATGGATGTCCCCGTTGAGTGAAAGGTGGAAACAGACTCCTCTCTCACAAAAGATGCAAATTTAGGTTAACGCATTCTCTTTATGCAGTACAATGATGCTAGACAGATTGCATATGTCGCAAGACTAATGAGGAAGAAAAGTTTGGCATAGTAACAATTCATTCCTAGCAGAAACAATGACCGTTATACTTGCTGGTTGAATTGGGGGTTAATTATTGCATGATTTAATGTATCTATTTGGCTGCTGTGCTTGTGTTCTTTAATAATGGACTATAGTTGTGCTTTGAGGGAATATGGCGTTGACCATTTTCGAACTAGTGGTCATGCTCATGTCCGAAAGCATCCAGTTTGTTTAGTGTGATTGAAAAAAACTTGAATCTGTTATTATATCTATAATTCCAATTTCTGAATTTGTGAAGTAGTAGTGTAGTGGGGTCACTAATTATTTCTCCACTTGTGTTACTATATGATGTTTATTTGTCTAACGTCTAAATTGTTATGTATAAATTTAAGTTGGACAGACGTATGTCTTGTTGTTTTTCCTAAAGACAATTCAATTAGTTTTTTAGTTTGCTTTCTTATCTAGTTCCCACTTTGGAAGGTGAGTGGATTGTTTTAACAACTGTAGTGATAGACATATAAAAAAAAATATGCTTGTCATGTGCAGATACAGGGGTATCAGCTTTGCCCAGACTACTAAAAAAGATTCTAACTACGCAGGTAAAAAAGAACTGATAGCTGACAAGCATGTTGATATGAATTATTGAAAGGATGAAGATGTAAGTCCAAACCAAACCAATGTCATCTGCTCCACAGGTATACCGGTCTAGTTGTTAAAAGAAATGCAAATTTTTCTTTTAAAAAAATAAAACAAGGCTATAAAATATAATAATATTTAAAGGCACCAATATGATTAAAGGTCCTACTTCACAGACTAATATGAAATATAATAATATTTAAAGAACTAATATAATCAAGAGCGTATCTCTGCCATATCTTTCACAATTTGATTCCTTATATGTTCCCGGTCTTGGAGACCATAATTATATATAAGAAGTCAGCAAAAAGTTATCATCTTAATTTTGAAAGCGAATGAGTAGTCATTGAAATGGAAATCAGACTTTCACCTGTAACATGTCAGCCTTAATAGAAAGTGGGTGCACATAACATAGAGAGCCATGCAAAACTTTGGCGTACATTAATGGGTGTCAGCGGCTTAATTCCTGTATAACGTGTGATGTCTGAAGGAAACTACAACTCACGCAAAACTCTTGCTCATGCTCTGCTCTCACTCTACAATTTCAATTTTTCTGCTATCGAAATGTCTGTGGCCTACTAACTATGAAGGTAAACATACTCACGTACCATGTCCTAATGTATATGTCAATTTGTCCATATTCCCTAACTTATTATATAGATTTCCTCTATGCATTAGGAACATGACAAATAACAATAGGAATACAGCAAGAGGACGAAGGCACTCTATATCTGTAGAAAATGAACGGGGCGAGGCCATGCTACCCTTGGCAATAGAATTAATGACATTGCATCGAGACTTGAATAGGGATAAAATATCTCACCATGAGAACTCTTTAAGTGGACGTGAATGGGTCGAAGAGTTGATCAATGGCCATCACCGATGAAAAATAGAAAACATGCGGATAATGATTGATAATTTCTTTCGATTATGTGACATACTAGTGCAGAATGGTTATGTATCTAGATCCTATCAGCAAAGGGTTGAAATCGAGGAAGCTTTGGCAATGACATTAGTCATGGTCAGTCATCGCCACACTCAGTGTATGCTAGCCGAATGTTTCAATCGGTTAACGAGGACAATTAACCGGAACGTGCACAGAGTTACTTGGCCTATACAGATTTGCCTCCACACTAATAAGGCCGTATGACCATGATAATGTTCACCCAAGAATAGCGAATTCAAGACATTTCTATCAATGGTTCAAGGTAAAGTTATCGTGACTTTATATTAAGTTTTCAAGTAAAAAAGAACTGACATTTTGTGTAGCTGTTAACTCTGGCTAAAGAGCATAACATTTGCCTCATTAATTTTGAGGTGTAGACAGTCCAAAATAAAATACTTGATAGATCCAAATGAACAGGGTGCTGTTAGAGCTTTGGATGACACACATATTCCAACATATCCGTTTAGTGGAGAGCAAATGACGTATACCAATCGACATAGGATTCACTCACAAAATGTCCTAGCAGTCTGTGATTTTGACATGCGCTTCAACTACGTGTACGCTGGATGGGAAGGTAGTATCCATGATACTCGCATTCTTGAATTTGTGTTGATGCCGCCATCAGATTTTTTGATTCTGCCTTTCAGGTCATAAGTGGTGACATTAATATTTGACACACACTTTGGGGGCAATAGTTTGACTATTAATTTTTGTGCTAACATCCCCTACAGTTTTTGGAAATATAGGCTAGTACTACTTGGTCAATGCAGCGTATAGAAACATTCCGAATTTCTTACCACCATATAAGAATGTACGTGAACGAGACCCAACCAAACGGTTGTTTAACACTCGACATTCAGAACTTCGGAATGTTATAGAGAACAGTTTTGGTGTATTGAAGGCAAGATTTAAATTCCTCATAAACACAGTGCCGAATTTCTATATGAGCACCCAAATTAGTTTGGTAATTGCATGCTGCGCGTTACATAATTTTTTGAGAATAGCATAGCCTAGGGATGCTTACTTTTGAGAGTTTGAGGATGAGAATGTCCATTTCAAGGTATAACCCCAACCCAAAGAAAAAATATGTATGTAGCCATTAAATGTTTCTCGAGAAGGGGTTGAGGCGTGAAAGGCAGCACGAGATGCAATGGCTAATGAAATGTATGTAACCCAAGGGCGACGCAGGCGCTAGAAGACAGTATCTGAAATATGGACAATATCATTACTATCCAAGGAACTAATGCCACACTAGAGCCAACCGGAGCGAACTAGAATTGGTGATTGAAGTCAAATAGGTACATTGTAAGTAGAAACTCCAATGTCAAGCATTTATAGTCAAATTGTGGTGAACCACTTATAAGAGAATAGCTCTTGGTGGGAAAATGATAAATAAATGTTTTAGCTATCCAAACAATTATTTCAAGTAGACGCTTATTTGGAACTTTTATCATTCACAAAAATCAAGTTTGAATATCCCAAATAATACACTATCCAAACGGCACCGTTATTTCCCTAAAATAAAACAACAAAAGAAATGTTTTTTTTTTGCCACCAAAACCAAAGTTCAAAGACGTGAAATATAGATCGCGCCTTCAACTGAACCAAAAAAAGCAACTCTAGCGCTGCTGGTAATCCCCTGAAATCTTAAACCCTTGAAACCCAAAAACCCTTTCTTTCTGTCTCTGTCTCTGTCTCCTCTGTGGAAACTCAAAAATGGGTTTGGGTCCTCGATTGCAATTGATCCGGAATCTCTATCGAGCAAAAAATCAAATTCCAGAATTCTCCCGTTTGTTAGTTTCCTTTATTTTTACTCCTAAGACGTTGAAAACTTTCAAGAATCGTTCTTTTGCCCCTTTATTTCAAATTTCACTTGGTATAACTGTCTTGCAGGCTTGGGAGCTCAGGAAGATATTCAAATGTCATTTCACATGGTAATTTGCGCATGTATTTCTTTTTTCTTTTTTCTCTTTTTTTTTGAAGAAAAATTTCTGTATGACTGGTTCTTTCTGGTAATATGTCTATGCATTGGAAAAGTTTCTGCTGTGCCTTTTTTTTTTTTGGATTGAATTGATTTATGCGGATCACACAGGGAAGTGGTTTTCCCCTTCGAAAAAAGTTAAGAAGAAAGAAAATTATTTTCCTCGCTTACATTAGCTAAATTAGGCGAAATGGGATTCTTATTGTCTTTTTTTACAGTTCAGGAGTGCTTCTGAAATTTGCTTGCTGAACAAAGTTATAGGCTTTTTCTAATTTATTGATTTCTTTTTAATTTTTTTGACCATTAATTTCCTATTTGAATTCCCTTTTTATCTCAAAGATGGGTTTTTCCTATGAATTTTGACTTGGCTCCTTGTTATGTGGGACTCGTAATTCTAAATTCTGGTATGGTTGATGGGCTGTAATGTTCTTTATGATCAGATTCCAAATCCTGGGGCAATTCCTCTTGTTTGGATGGAAGATATCTTAATCATCAATCATGTAATAAATGTAAGGAGAAACTTCCTACGTTTTCATTAATTCTTTCTCATTTCACCTTTTACACTTCTAGGAAAGTATTTTTTTCACATTTGGTTTGTTTATTCAAAAGTTCAAGAAATTTCAGGCTGACACTGTTGATTTCTCTATATTTTTCTGGCAGGGACTGTTCCACTAGCTATTTGTAGGACCATGTCGTCCTGTGTAACCAAGGACTCTAGAGGACTTCCTTGGACTCCTGGTACTAAAATCATACTTCAAGCAACAACGGTAGGTTTTTTGAAAGTGAAATGGCAATGTTGCTTTCATGTTTTGGATTATATTCCTTTGCTGGTGCTTGGTCTCTTCTGGGATGACTTCTGTTCCTCCTACATGGATGCATCTACTTGAGTCTTAGTTTTGTGGATTCTGTGCTTGACTCTCTTCCACTGTTTTTTCTCTGCTGTTTGCTGCTGCTATTTGTTTTGTCTTTAGAATTTCTTTTTTTGGTCAAATTTCCTGTCTGATAAACCGTGATGTTTGAATCTCACCGAGCATTTAACTTTTACTCATAGGTAGCTGAGCTATCCAATTTTGGCTATGCTAGATTTGTTACAACACAAGCAAAAGCTCCAGCCCAAGCACGACTAATGGTATGGGAGTTTATCCTTGATATTGCTGATTAATGGTCAATTTTTAAATTGCTTGGTATGCAACAAGGAGTTGAGCACAAGGGTATCAAAGTTCCTGATAGATAATGTTTTCATGCTTTTTTTCCCATTGTGTTATCGTCTTTTTACGAAAAAAGGTAGATAAAGTGGGAGCACAACTAGTCATAATTCTTCAATGTAACATATGGTGACAAATACTGTCCTATATCTTGTTCAAAAGGTTGTAAAAGTTGATAATTTGCTATGGTATTAGCATTCTGGTTCTCACCTAAGAAATTGTTGCTAATGGCAAATTTTTGGTTTGGAAATGATTGAGAGCTGTTAATGTTGTTTGCCAGGTGAATTATTAATGGCCAATAGATTCTGTGGGTTATGAGGTTTAGCTGCTTTACTAACGGCAAAATGTGTAACTGAAAGTCATGTATCTGATTTGCTATTTCTATTGTCTACTAATATATTGACCATGTGTTATGGTTTTAATCATTGGTCTACCTATTGCAGTTTTTACTACATCTAGCTTAACATCTTATTCGACTGTCTGGCCCATTAGAGTGTGAAAATATCATTTTGGTCTTGATTTGTGCTTGAGTTCTTTGCTCTCTCAATTTATTTATAAGTGCTGCCTCTTCATTTACAGCATATGAATGTCTTTCCAACTAGATTACTCTTCATCCTCCAGTGGTTAATTACCTTCTTGTTACTCCCTTGTACTTTTTAAACATCCCTTTTGCATATAAATTAAAGGTAGGATGAAAAATCTAATGACATATACTACCAAAGCATCTATATTACTGCCAACTTGATATTTTACACTGAAACGAGCATCTTTCCCCTAATGCTTATGTTTGGAGAGTGAAAAGGTGATGTCCTGGGATGAGAAACATCAAAACTTGGATACCTCAATTTTTTGAGCAGAAATAGAACTGTTGAATCTGAAACAGGAAAAGTTGACATCATCCATAAACAGCAAAAGAAATATTATTAGTTAATTAGTTAATTTCTAATCTTCAATTAATTGTGTTTTGCTGAAATGGATACTTATGGTGTGGTCAATGCTTTTTCCCTCTAGTGTTCTAATACATTTAAGTGTTGGTCTTTTCAACAATCTGCTAAAGTGCAATCATGTTGTAAACCCACATATAGCAATTCTTTATTGCTCAGAGAAGTTATCTTGAGGCCATTGCAGAAATATGGTTTAAGATTACCAGGATGTATTGTTCTTTTTGACCTGTAGTAGCCTTGGTGGCATCATTTGTTTGTGCATGCTAGGTTATGAAGATATAATCAGCTGTAAAAGAAATAGTTTGTTAGCTTATTGCCTCGTTTACACTCCTAATATGCAGGGAGCACTTCAGGTATCTATGCAGAGTCCTGGAATTGTGTATGAGCCATATGCACCTCGTGAAAAGCTTCCTTTCTGGAGAAGGTTAGCATACTCTTCAAGACAATGCTAATTACTATTAAAGTTTTCCTTGTGACAAGAACTTCACCATTTTAAAAGTGAAGGAGAATTCGAACTCTTTATAGTATATGGATACAAATAATTTTAGTAGCTGCGGTGATTATATATGCTACTCGAAAGAGCAAAGTGAAAAAAAGTATACATGTACTAATGGTCAATCTGTGTTTACTAAATGTAGGTTTCAAATCTATCCAGTATTGTTTTCTATAATTTGTGACAAAATGATTCTTTGGTTATAAAATATTAATCATTCCTCAGCTATATCATCCGTGAAATATCATTTCCTTCTTGGGTTTCATTTTCTTACCTATTTTGAGAACAATGCAAGCATTTAACAGATAGGCATGCTAGTGTTCCAAGAACACATTGAAGACTTTCATGTACTAAGACTATTGATTTCTCATTTTTCTACGTTATTGTCCTTACCAAGGTTATGGTAGAAATTGATAGAGTTAAAGAATGAATTTTCCTTTAAATAAAGATTAATTATGTTGTATTTTTGTTCTATTGATGAAATTTTCATCTGCTATTTAAATAAAAAAGCAGCATGTTGTGCTTTGCTTATGATTTTGACTGCTCCCCACTATTTCAAGAGCTGATCTGTTAGCTAGTTGGCAAGACATTTTGACTCTCTTGACCTCTTGTTTAACGCCCTAGAGTGTTTATAAAAAGATATCAGCATGTTCTTGAGTTCCATTGGAACTATAAATGCTCTATGATTCTTTAGGGAATTTATGGGTACAGATCAACTTGGCTTATACTTGTGTCTTGTGATTTCAGGTGGTTTACAAGAAGTGGTTGGCGTAGAACAAAAGATGATCTTATTTTAGAGGTAATGAACCCGATTGAATTTAGATTTGTCAATCTGTGAGTTCGATAGTTGTTTTATCCTTCCGGACTAATTTCATATTGCAGCAAACAGCGGGAAATTCACATTTGTAAGTTGTCCAAACTTGCATGAATTTGTCATTTGAAAATTGTATTTCCACATTTGTACTTTTCTATCTCAATAGAAGTGCTTATAGTTACCTGATGCTCCACATGCGTGTGTATGTGGATCTTATATAGAAGCTTTGATTAGATTTGAGCGATGTATAATAAATCTTTGCAGATCTTTAACCTGTTTCTTGTTGATTATTAAGTTCTTAAGACACTGATTTTGTGTTTGCAGCTCAAAACTGCGTATGCCATTGCTAAATTGCGAAAATCTGGATACTCTAAACAGAAGTTCTATAATGAAGCTTTTGACTTGTACAAAGAGGTTTGCTTTTGCCATCAAGAAATTACTCTGCGGTAGAACTTTGGCAAGTTATATTTGCTGTTATCCTTTTGATTGTGGTGTTTAGTGGAATTTCTTTCTCATGGAACTTTTTCTTCTTCTGAGCTTCTCAGATAAGTACTAAAGTTGCTAATGGAGACAAAACATCATTGAGGAAATTAGTTACAGAGAAGATGTATTCTGTACGTGCGCTTTTCTCCTAAAATGTGCTTTTTTAGGCACAATTATATATGGACGTTAAAAACATCTACCTTTCTTGAAGCTGACTTATAGGAACCACTTGAATTTGTATATGGATATAAATCCAGACGAGCTCAATTCCTTCATTGCTTATAACAGGCTCTCAAGAATGAAATCAAGCAAAGAGAATCCAGGTGGAGTAAAATGTATTGGGAACTGGTGGAACCAGCAGTTCAAATACGAACACTACGTGCTCGACTGGCAAGTATCTATGAACATTGACATAAATTCTAAACGCTGTGCTATTTTGAGGTTTATCTTTATGTGCTGAAGAGGTAACATAGATGTAGAGGCATTGCTTGTTATTCTGGTTCTACACAGATGAAATGCTAACCAATAGATTTCCTTTCCTCAGCAAGTTGTAACATATTCCAGAGCAGAGTTTGACAAACTTGAGAATGTGTCTGGGTTACAATGTTTCTTTTGCTTCTTTGCATATTTCTTTGTGATTTTTCTTTATTTGCATGCTATTTTGCGCCAACACCAGACATGGACCTTTGTTTCTGCTGGTTGAGCTTTGAACATTTTTCCGGACACATGTGGTGTCTGGTAAAAAATGCATGTCTTATTGATTTATGAATGCTTCATAGAAATTTTCTGTAGTCTGGATGCTTCATGTGCATGTATGTGTTTGCAGGAATGCTACCTGTTTATGCGTACACGCATGTTTTACTTGTTAATCTTTCTACTGTGGTCATTAGTCTTGACTTTGAGAAGGACCTTAGGTGGCAGATCTTATTTATAGCAAGTGCTGTTCCACAACGATTTGAAACTTTATGGGATTCCCTTCATGCTTTCTATCCTTAGTGTTCCACTAGTTTGTTTAATTTCCAATGTCTGGAGGGGATTTGGGTTTGTAGTGTCTTCTTTCTACCAATATCAGTTCTAGTGTAAAGGCTTAAAATTCTACCAAAAAGAGCGTCTATAGGGCAAATCAGTGTTGCTTCATTGCTGTCATCGAAATTCATATAGTTTTCAAGATACGAGTTATTATTCAAATAGCGAAATTTAATCATTTGTTACATTTAACCTTAAGATGATTATCATTTTCAGTATTTTCATTCTGCATTAAGGCATTTCTGTTTCTTTGCAGATTGCCATTGATCGGGAAAATCTTAATAAGGCGTTTGCACAGCTTACACTTGAATTTTTGACTAAACAGGTAAATCTGCTTTGTGAGTGTGTTTAATGGTTTGTCATTGTTTGCTGAATTTTGTTTGCTGTTTTGATTATAATTTACAATGTGTTTAGTCAATTATAGTCAATTAGTTAATTCGAGCATTAGGACCATGTGCAATGGTACTTGATTCTTTTCAATTTGGTTGTTCATGCGTGCAGAGTTATAAGTAGAAATAAGTGAAATACTCTTCTTAGCATCTGTCTAAGCGGGAAACAGGACAGAAAACTAAGCATAGTTGGTTCAAGTCAAATCTTGCAGCGAACTCTAGGGTGAAAGTTGCTGAGGTGTGTGCATGTTTCAGATCTGCATAGTTGGTTAGTGATTTTTGCGAAATGTTAACACAGCAACGGAACTAGTGATTATGGATCTGAGAGAATAAGATCAAAGCGTCCTTTTACAGAGAGAGAGAGACCCTGAACTCCTGTGTTTTCTTTGGGTGATGCCAGATGTCATGATGTGGAGGATTGTGCCAGATGTCCAAGTGTGCTGTAGAGATTGACCTTTCTACAAGTAACTTCTTTTTCTAATAGTACAACCACATGAAATAGCAACTAACATAATAGTAAGTCCAAGGAGGATGATTTCAATATTGGAAGGATGCCTTAGGAAGGTTATATATCGCTTATGGCCAGTGCCGTCTATGGTCTATGTGTGGTCGTATTCACATGCTGGCAATTCTTTGTTTCGAATCTGTGGCCTAAAAGCAGTATTCTATTGGAAATTAGAATGCTTTTTGGGCTTGCTTATCCTAGGAGTTACAAATCTTGCATGAAGAAGCTCATCTTATAACCCCACTGCTCTGGTTCAATAGTAAAGATCATCTATAGATTGTTACACAAGTGTCACCATTTGTGTTTGCTTGGTTCATGATCATTTTGTCTGTCTACTTTTGCCAATACACTTTTATTTATTTCTGCAGAAATATGAGGCATATGATACAAATGGAACTGTTGTTGCTGGAGACAAGGACAAGGAGGTAGGTGCTAAATGCTTATTCTTCTTAAGTGAAGTGAATGAAAATATGCTGGTAAAATTTTGCTAATCTTTTCTGAGATGTGCTTCTAGGTGTTAGCCATGATCTGATGGAGAGTTTCAATATGAAAAAATTTAGTTGTCCTGCTCGAGGGATGAATATTGTCCTTGCACGGAAGAATTGCCAGACTCTGGCACTTTAGTAAACAAATTACATGATACCAATAGAAGTTACTAATTGGGTTTATCTAGTCTTTCAAAGTTTATCACATAACATTATTTCTCAACTTTTCTTGAAGAAATGAGTGCTAATCTGTAACTTTTGTTATTATCTTTATGGTTTTTTTTTTTTTGGGTAAGTATTATCATCATGGTTACCTGGTCCATTTACTGGGTGTCTTTGTAATAAATGTACCTTACTCTAATCCTGTTTGAAGGAAAATTAATTAGTTAAATTGCTTCGGGATAGTATTCATGCCTCCAATAAGATGCCAAAACATCTTGTAGCCCCTTAGAAGGTTTTAGTGGTAGCCCTCCTGGTTAGAGCATTTGAACATTGAACAAGTTAACCATTTACTTTCTAGTTCTTACTTTCTAGGGACCTATTTGAAAGTGCGTGTAAATAGATTACATATGCCAATGCTTCTGAGATTAGTTCTTGGACAAAAGGGGATTGTAGATTATAGGAATCTGAAAGGTGACTAGTTGAGAACTGAATCCCCACCCTTACTGAGGATTAGTACAGGTCATGGTGGATGAACGAAAACCTACCCTTTGGTAGTTGTTCATATTAGTAGATGTTCACATTTAATTGTCATCCATGAGAGTTGGAATCTAATGCCATTTGAAATTCAGTGATGCTCACCACCTTTGATGACAAGGACTGAAGCTATTGCTTCTCTCCTGAAATAAGATAATAAGATGTACCTGACGCTTACCCTTTTGCCTCAGGTTCTTGTGCGTGAGATATGGGTTTTTGAGAAATCTCTCTTCCACCCTGGAGCATATTGGCGTCTATGTGGACGAATCAACACTTCATGAGGTTTTATCTGATGAGGAGATATTTTGTAAACTAAAAATTTTGAATAATGGCATCTTATCATTTTTTAGAATTTGTTTGTTCAGTAAAATTTCTGATGTAAAGGACTAATTTTAATTTTTTTTTTTGGCCACGAATAGCTTATACTGTGAATTCCCTGTAAGTCATTGGGCAGATTCAAATAGCTGCTTTCATGCTTGTAAAGTTGAATGAGGGGATGACGTTTTGGAGTTTTTGAACACTGCACTTATTTTAAGTGATATTCATCTAACGACTTGTGAATTCCCAGTGGATATGTACTTTACAGCATTGATATACTCGAATTCTTGTTGGTCTAGTTGTTTAACCATTTTGGGGAATCTTAGATCATGGGTAGTCGGATCATTTATCTTTAATTTTCAGACCTTGAGACTTATTTGCTGGATCTTTGAAATAATCCATTTTGTGGAATTACATGCATGGTTCATATTAAGGTTTGTTACTACACAGGACATCAGTTTATGAACACAACCTCTTCCCGACAAAGGGGGGAGAAAGGAGGTGAAGGGAAAGACTTTATGCACTAGATTTACTGAATGAAAAACCAGCAAAGGTAGGTTTTTCATTTTTGTTATTCTTTCTAATCTGCTGAACATTAATTTACCCTTCAGATGAAGTGCTGCTAGGATTGTAATTTGCGACTTGGTAAAGCCCTGGCATTCATTCAGTGTTGTGATTGGTTTCGTGGTGTTCGTTGAACATGAAAGCATACTAACATGTTTTGTTATTATCTCTGGCATTCATGTATAGATAATAGTCTTGGGGGTTGTCCTCCCCCCATTCATTTCCTTTACCAAATCTTGCACTTTGGCCCGTTTCAAATTTCTACAAATCTATATGTCAAATGTGCTAAATTCAGTCAAGATTAGGAATATTTTGCGGAACTCAAGAATTGGGCTAAAGTGACTCGGGTATTCCTGGGAACTGAAGACCATACCAGGTTAGAGATTCCTTGTGTCCTTTCTTGACTAACTGGTCCCAAGGTTGTTGTACATGCTAAACTTATATCCCCTAAATTGTATGTTTGTAGGAATATCAACAGTCATCCTTTTTCTTACTCATGGTAAATCCTTCAACTAATATTCAAGGTAACAGTCAAGCAACTGGATCTTGTATCTTCCCGAAAGCGACCTATTTCTTTAAAGCATAATCAACTCTGGGTGGATATCGGGCAGAGGAAAAAGAAAGAAAAGAACTTTTCTGGCATAAAGTAATCCTTGTTGCTTGACGTGTGGGAGATTCTCTCCCATAACACCGTGATTACCTTGCGTTCAGATGAAGCAAGCCCTCAATGTTTTTAATGCAACCTCTGAAGAATGGAGGAGGATATGGATGAATTAAAGGGCAGCCCTGAAAGCCTTGGCATTTTTCGCATATTCATCAATTTCATCCTGCCTACAGAATGTTTTGTGCGGGATGCTTTAGCCATTTTCTGCAGACTCTTCATCTTCATAGCAAGTTCTGCAGTTCTAGCAGCACAAGACTTGAAGCAGCATTTGAGTTTGGGAGGCTTTCTTGGCCATGGATTTTATATCGTCCAGAGACTGCATGATTGGATCATGCAAACCCTGGAAGCTCAGGCCATGAAGCCTGTGACTTTAGGACGCATGCCTGGAATTGCTGCTGCACAATCGCAACATCGAACTAGCACCAGAAAAGATCAAAATCTGCATTTGACTTCTCATACAAATCCATCTGAAGTGAAGGATTATTGTCCAATGAATGCAGCAAAACAAACGGAACCGGTTAGGTACCACTCGAGCTTCCCCAGAGATGAAAGAGAGCTATCACAACTCCCAAACGGTGTAGATGATGAAGTTCTTTCTTCCTGCTCATCTATACAAAAGAAAGATGGTGAAGATATGGTAAAAGATCAGGAGTCAACTGTGCCAACCGTCGTGCTTTTCCCTCAAAAAAGAGCTCCCAAGGAGTCGGTTAGCAAAAATGAGAATGTAGAGATATTGAAGGAAATTAAACCAAATTATTTTATTATTTAATTTCCTAAATTCTTTTAGTTTCTTATTTCAGTGTCTAGTTTTGATAAGGTATAGTTTCCGTAATTGAGGCCAGGTCCAAATAGTGACGAGTCAAGTGTTAGTCCAACTCCTAGTTGGTTTGAATTGATTACTCCCTTGGGTTAGTCTCTCTCTCTCTCTCTCTCTCTCTCTCGCTATATATATATATATATATATATATCGCACTACTAAAAGCATGTTAACACTTGAGGAGGGACGACTCCAAGGAATTGCTAGAGTTGTGAGAGCAGTGAGCACAAGAATGAAAGGTCTCCGGCTTGTCTTTTGTTGTTTTTGAGATTTGATTCAATAAAATTATTGAGGTTTGATTGTGAGTTTATTTCTTTCCCTTTTCCTACATATTTTTATACTAGAGGTACTTGAGCTATACAAAGTACAGCTTGGGCCTCCTAGAAATTTAGTCGAACACATAAAATCAAATTATTTTGGCACATGATGAATGAATAGAAATATAGGAGAAAAATTGAGAATCAAAACAATTAAAATTGACAAAAGTTGTTTGACCTCTCATTTTTGTTAATCACACATTCACTATTATTTTTTATGATATAGTTTTTATTTATTTAGGAATATAATTAACAAAATATGGAGTAGGAATAAATTTTTCATCAAAATTTGTTGTGAAGAGAAATTCCATCTATGAAGTCAACCCCTTATTTATTGTGATTTGAATAAAGATTTTTGAACCACTATTATGATGATACCCAAAAAGAAGAGAGAATTAATACATTATAAGTGCATTACTGTATTAATAGCAGTATAGTTTTAGTTGTAATTAAATCAAAAATAGTCATAATGTTTTTAGTACTTTAATAATGAGAAAAAGTTTAGAAAGCCACTAAGACATGGCATAATATTCAACATCAATATAGTTTTTTCCTATAAACTTCCATAGTTTTCTTTCTTTTGATGGAAGAAGCTAATTCATTTATTTAAATCCTGCTTAAATGTGACAACATTATCCTGCAGTTCCAGGATATAAATATCAAGGTTAGATAAAAATATGAATTGTTACGTTTCTAGATCTACATATACAAATTAGAACTAAAGCATTTTTTTTTATTGCAAAAGCATCTTCCTAATCAAAATTGAATTTTCTAACAATTTTTTTGTCAAGTCACGCCCTAAGTTGAAAGTCTCAATTGTGACTTCCACCACCAACTACAATCCTTGTATGCCTGCCCAATTGATACTACAGCACTTGAGTAATTAAAAAACAAACAAAAATTAACATTAGTTTAAATATATACAAAATCTTATTGGATCCTTCAATTAAATTGAATAGACCATAAAGTAATTGCAAAGGGCGGGAAGGGGAGGAAGAAAGAAACAGAGAAAAATAGATGTAGAAGAATGCCTAATTAGATTGATCTTGATGGAAGTATCACATGATATACCTTTTCTCTTTAAAAAAATACACAAAATTGTAGATAATTACAAAACGTGACCAAAAAACAAAAAAAAAAGGAAAAAAAATGTGACGTAAGAAATCAAATTGTGGGAGGAGAAAATAAAAGAATGAATTTTTGTTTTATTCTTCACAGAAGATGATCATTGGTATAAAATGAATTCCAAGATCTTTTTATATATTTTAATATTTCACCTTTTATCCATGAAGAAATACCAAACAACAACGTCATCTTATAAATTTAACAAACAAATGCCAGCTGGCTATAATATTATGATTGAAGAATAGAGCAAATATGAGAAATTAGAGATGAAAAAAAAGGAAGAAAAGAAAATGTAAAATGGGATAAAAATAATAATAAAGGCTTTTCTTTGCTAAGTAGCTAATCATCTCAACCAAAAAAAAAAAAACATGGGAACAATCTTAGTTAGATTAGTTTTAAAAAATAAAAAATAAAAAAGGTGAGGGATGACAGCAGCTGCTGCAAGAAGAAGAAGAAGAAAAGATGGAGCTGATTTTCTGAAGAAGAAAAAATATTTTAATCCTTTTGGCCCAATTGAATCAAGAAAGGGAAGGAAAAATTTAGCTAAAATTACCAAGATTCCATTTGTCAAAAATATATGTAATACATGTGTCAAAAAGATGGGCTGTTATAGCAACTTGGCTTTCTTCTTATATATAATGTAGACATGTGTTAAAATTACTTTCACTATGTGCGTGATTTTTCGTACTAACAAGTGGTATCAGAGTTCTAAACTTTAATTCTCGGGCTTAGGGATTGTTCTTGAAGTTGAAGTATGGATCTATATTATTTAGCATGTTGTGTTGTTTTATCTTTGATGGTTAAAACAATTTTGAGATTTGAAGTTAGATGATGAAAAGATTTTCAAATTATTGGAATTTGAAATATTGTTCAAAAGGGGTTCATGGAACCTATATGAGGCATGGAATCATCAGGTGATGCACTTAAAGAGTTAGAGAGGAATAGACAATTGGATTGTAAGGCATTCCACTATCTCAACACATATGTCCAATTGTACGTAGTGAATAAATTCATACATGCAAAGACGGCAAAGGATGCTTGAAAAGTTTTGATAAATTCTTATTGTAGTCATGGTGCATAAGAAAGTTGTGCCAAGAAAGAAGAAAAAGGATTTGTTGATGAAACAAAGAAGAAGAAACTGCAGAATTTATGGGTACATATGAAGATGAAGAATTTATAGCTAAAAAAGAAATTTTGCAAGTTGTTGAGAAAGAAGCGAAATTATTGATGTGGTTTGAAATCATGACAATGTAGATATTGTTAATTTTGTTGGAATTGATGAATTTTTTGAAGAAGAAAATCAAGTGATAAAGTTGATTAAAAATAATTGTGAGGTCGAAATATTAGTTGAAGATTATGGCATTGCTAAAAACTAATGTGGTCATTGTTATGGACGAATCAAAACAAGTTCATGATGATATTGAAATTTTTGGTAATGGAAAGTATGATTTTGTGATTTCAGGAAATTTTCTTGGTGATGTGGATGAATTAAATTATATTATGGAGTATCTAATGAAGAATGGGTGGACATGTTTGAATATTTTAACAAGGGTGATCAAGCCAAGAAATTATTCGAAAAGTACAAGTTTCGTCCATTATCACGTGTAAAGATGAAATTGGAGATCCATTGCAAGTTAGTGTTTTGTGTCGTTTATACTACAACCGAGATTTTCATGGAAATTCAAACTCGTGATGGCATTGGAAATGACAACATCAAAAACTTGATTTAAGGGAGGCAATGAAGGAAATTAAACCAAACTATTTTATTACTTAGTTTCCTAATCCTTTTAGTTTCTTATTTCAATGTCTAGTTTTGATAAGGTATAGTTTCCGTAATTGAGTCCAGGTCCAAATAGTAATGATTCAAGTATTAGTCATAGAGCACTGCTGCTAGCATATTAACACTGAGGAGGGACTACTCCAAGAAATTGTTAGAGTCTGGTGAGAATTGTGACAGCCGTGAGCACAAGAGTGAAAGGTCTCCGACTTGTCTTTTGTTGTTTTTGAGATTTGGTTTAATAAAATTAGAGTAAATTGTGGTGAATGTCACTAAACTATACACTTGTACTAGTTCAGGTCATTAAACTATTTTGTTAGTCGAAAATGTCGCTGAACTAATCAAATTACATGTTTTGTGTCATTCCGTGTAATTTGACTATCAAATCAAATGGAATGGGCGTCACGTGATTTGCAGGCGCATTTTTTCAGGACCAAACTCGTCTAAACAATTTTTGCTTGAAGTTTTTCTCCCTCGTTACTAATAGATCTCTCTCTTTCTCTCTCTCTCTCTCTCTCTTTCTCTCAATCATTAGCAGATAAAAGTTTAAAACTCCCTTCCCCCCAAAACCCAAAATTAGGCTAAAAACTTATAGGTTCAATATAGTCTTAAACTGGCATGGTTTTAGCTCTAAAATAAGGATTTATTGTTTTGAATATGTTTGTGATTGGGAAGGAAGGGATGTGAGAACCCGTAAATTTTCCCATTTTCAAGGTTTTATTATCTTTCATGGCTTGTTTTCTGCATTTTCGTGATTAGGAAAATTTCTAGATATTTTTAATGGGCAGATATAGTTTTTAGATGATTTTTCTAGTATCGAATAGTTTTTGAAAAATTAAGAGCGTATACCGGACGTGGGACCCACTAGTGCGAAAAGTTTGGAAAAATTCGGCCAACTAGGTTAAGTTTTGGATATTGGATGTAATTTACCGGGTGTTAAGAGATAAGTAGAGGTTGCAATTTGGATTGGTGTGAGAGGAAACAAAGTGATAGACTTACATTAAATAAGTGACAAGTGTCACCATTTGGTTGGAGGGACTTGTAAGACCACTATTCATTTTCTTATCATTGACCAAATAAATAAAAAAAAAAAAAACCAAAACTTCACCATTTTCTCTTCATCTTGGCCGAGCTCCTTGAGCAACAAAAGAAAGAAAACTCTTCAGGTTTTTGGCTTCAATCTTGCTTCAAGCAACTCACTCAACCTTCCAATCTTATTTGTGCTCCATAAAACCACTTAAGGGAGTGATAGTGAGGTGTTGTGTGGAGTTATTTGGAAAACTAAGAGGACTTATTGCTCTCTCTCTCTTGTTTCTAAGGTGAGTTGTGAAGAACTACTCTCCTCCCTTTATTGATGCTTAAATTATGCTTAGTGGTAGTATGAGATGCCATTTTATGGATTATATTTTGAGTTGTGGTTGAATTGATGAACTTTTATAATTTTTGGGGATTTTTCTGTTTTAATATGAACATGATTGGGTGGCTATCTATGATGATTGGAAATGGTATATGATGACTCTAGAAGGTGGAAAAAGTGGTTAATTGCAACCAATTTCTGGTTTGGAAGAAATTTTAGAAAGTTAGGGTTTTATTGGGAACATTCTGTCCGGTTTTATAGCTCCTAATTAGAGGCCGAATTGGCCTTGGCTTAAAACATGAAAGTTGTAGGGAATGATATTTTAGAGGTGCTTACAAAATTTCAGGTCAATCGGAGTAGCGTAGAATGAGAAAAGTCAAAATTACCCTTGCTGTCCTGGTTTTACCCGAATGTAAGAATTGCGCCTGTAATTGGTTGTTTTGGCTGGAATTGCTTCGGAATTGGTTGTTGAGGTCTTCTAATAAAATGTAGCCCTATTTCTAAGATTTCGGATGGATTTGG